AATTTTTGTATGTTCAGGATTTGTTTTGTTGTCGTCGGACTTCGCCCAGCTGGAGCTCCGAATAGCTGCCCATCTGTCTGATGACCACCAGCTGATCAGCGATCTAAATAACAGTGTGGACGTATTTGATGTGATTGGTTCTTGCCTCTTTCAGTCGTCGTCGAAGTCAGCCGACGAACGCCGACAGCGCGCAAAAAAAGTAGGTTTAGATATTCATCAAGTTGGTGTATGAAATCGACGTCTTGTTATTCCTTGTGCTTATTAAACCGGATAGTAAGCTATCAGGTGGCTGAAAGCTAATTGCAGCTACAAGTTGGGGGGAAGGGGGCACTCGCATCAGACAGAATGGTCGTACGCTTTGTCCATTCTGTCGCCACCGGACCAGAAAATCGTGCTGCCCCTATTTTTCACAAATACTTGTTTTGCTACCCTTTTGTCAGCTTGTTACGTCGAAGCCCTTGGAATTCGCAGCAAGAACAGAGGTTGTTCCTTAGAGGCTTCGAACTCGACACCTCAGCAGTTCAAAACTGACCTCTTAACCACTGTGCCACCACAGTCCAGTTGTTGAATGGATGCTTCGACCCTCAACCTATCCATTTTCCGCGAAATGTATTTTTAAGAGAATGGATTTTTTGCGTTGATTTCAAATTTCTGAGCGTTTTAAAAGTTCTTTTATCTGGTTAATAATTGCGTAAGTAAGTATAGAATTCAACATAAATTCTTTCTCATCTGGATTACCCGATGGAAGGGGAGCATTGGCATCAGTCGGTGTGTGATGTGTTCTGTCAATGAATGCGTCCTTGGCGTACACTATGGCCGACATTGTTCCTCCAGCCATGCAGCAGTTGCCAGACGCTTACGCATCCGTGCATAAGTATTTGCCTGCTTATTACTGGAATAGTTAGTTAATAATTGATTATAATACTCATACTGTTAACAACGATAATGGGCGGATCCTTCTTCAGATTAACTAGGATCGCCATTACTTAATCTCGATGTCCATGATCATCTGTTTCGTTCTGTTTCTCGTCTGAAGCTTCCACCTTCCTCTTGCGTTATGAAGTCTGATGGTCGTCGGTCAGTCCTGTGAAATGACCTGTCCATTATCGTTTTTTTTTGTTTCGAAAATGATGTTTCGTCCTGCGTTCCTCTGCATCGTCTTATTTTTTCAGTTCACAGTTGGCCCTCCTGGAAAACATCCTAGCATGCTCTTTTCTGTGGCCTGTGACTGCATTTTTAAGGCTCTTCATCCTGCTTCATTTATGCCCAGGTCTCACAGCCATGTGGAGCTGTTGGCAATACTGCGTTTTCAGCAGTGTGGTTTAAACCGGATATTAATTATTATTTTTTATCAAGTACGTCAGCATATTTTTTGTACGTAGTCCACATCTCACGATTCCTGAACTAATGTAGTGATTCGAGACGATTAACTGTCACAAGTAAACATACTCGGTGATTTCTGTTTAATAATCATCGATGGATCACTAGCTGTTTATACGCCAATTCGTTTTTCATTGTCTTCATCTTCGTCCTATTTATCTGAAGTCCAACTTGCCTGCCTTTTAACTCTGCCTCTTTAAGCATCATGGCATTAACTTATTGTTCCTTACTGTTCTCCTGAAGGCACAATATCACCAGCAAATCAAAGATGAGTGATCTCTCGGCTGGTGACTGAAATTCCATAGTATTTTATGTTGTAGAATACTGTCTTAATGCATTATATTAATTGTGTTATGTTAAGTATATTAATTTTAATACAGTAGTTTTTTGTTGATTGCAGACGGGATAGGAATTATAAAATGATGTTGTTTAGACGACAGTAAGCTAAAGAACAATATTCAGTATAGGTTATGTTGTGAAGATCGCACAAGACTCTTGTCGAATTGTGCATAATGGCGTCAAGACTTTCACCATAGGGTAATGTTGACCTGCCATTAGCGGCAGTTCTTAAATTTTTAAGTAAAAGAAGCTTTTCAGCCTTATTGTATTTCTTGCTGGGGCATACAGATTTTAATCGGTTTCGCTATTGCCTCTGATAGCTGCTTCTTGCTTCTGACGAACCTCATTTTCGGTTGACTTTTAGGTTATAACGTTTGTCTGATCATTTTCTGCTGCTCTACATTTCGCAGCATGTTCAATTTGTTACCAATTTTGTTTTATTTAAGATCTGCTATGGTGTGATGTATGGCATGGGCTTCCAAAGTATCGCAAGTACTCTCAACGTGACGACGGAGGAAGCTGAAGAGTTTGTAAATTCGTTTATGCAACGGTATTCCGGTAGGTTAGGTTTCTTTTTGCACGTATTCTATTTTTTCTGTATGTATATTCATTATGTGTATCTGCGTATATCATTGAATACATATGGCAATGACGTGAACGCGCTTTGGTAGAAAATGCAGACATTAAGTATCTTTCTGAGGAAACGAAAAATGTTTTCCTGTTATTTAACCTAGTAACGACGTTAGCTTTGAATTTAGTATGTTTCTAGTCTCTTTCATTAGCTGAGGCAGTTTCCGGATCTGTTAGTTCATATCCTTAAAACTCAGAGTTTTTAGCAAGATTTTATGGAAAACCGCAGCTAACTCTGTGATGTACCATCCTCAGGTTATTAAACAGTTTCTAACATTGTTCTTTATAAATTCGATGCTAACATATGCTTGCCTTCAGGGGTTGCGCAGTGGATTTCATCGGTTGTCCAGTCGTGTCGAAAGAACGGTTTTGTCGTCACTCTGTTCAACCGGATTCGCTTCCTGCCTCACATAACCAGCGGCCGCTCCGACGAAAGGCACAGGGCCGAAAGACAGGCGGTCAACAGCAGCATCCAGGGCTCGGCGGCCGATGTTTTCAAGAAGTCCATTGTAGCCTTGGATCAAGCGATCTCGTCGACGTTCCTCGCTGACCACCCTGTAAACTTCGCAAGCCCTTGTTTTGCGGTCGACCATCGCTTAGACGTTCTTCCTGTTCTGCAACTGCACGATGAGGTTATTTTTGAAGTCAGAACAGAGGTGCTCACTGAAGCCGCGAAGCTCATCAAATCTGTGATGGAAAGTGCAGTGAAACTCAAAGCCAAACTGTTGGTCCACATGAGAGCCGGTCCTTCCTGGGGCGAAATGAAGCCGCTTGTCATTTGAACTAGTGGCAAAGCATTG